GGGGGTCAGCTTAGGTGTTGACACCAGCCACAGAGTCAACACCCAAATTGTGATGATGCAGAAAAATCCATGACAATTTGTCTATTGCAACTATCTACTAAGTTGTCTGGCTGAAGGCAGATATACTACTCACAGATTCTTCTCCAACTGCAGTCCATCTATTTTTCCTTTCCCTTCAGCTGAAGTCAGTGTGCCTGTGTTTATCTCCCCCGTCCACCCACCCTTCCCTCTCTTCCCTCCCTTCATTCTTGCCTGCCACGCTTGATGAAAGCAAGGGGGCCATATTTTTTCACCTTCTTTCAAACCCACTGGCTCTCTCTCCTCTCCAGTCACTCAAAGCCCCAACTGCACTGATATGTCCATCAAACAGGCCACAGCCCCATCTCCTTATACAGCTGCCTCTATGCAGACACTGCCTCTCTCTCTTGAATGTGCGCCAGTTGTCATTTAGAGGTACATCCATAGTGCACTGGCTCACATCCAGAGGACACATAGATAGATATCTGGCAACAAAAGTGCCTCAACACAGAACCTTAAGTCGAAGCTCCCGTTCCATATGCTGCAGCTATAACTGTAATCAGAAGCAGCTCGTAGGTTAGCCGTAACCACCGACTCCTGTTAAGGCTGTCAGGAGCTTCCGGAGTGATCAACGGCGAATATTTAATGCTTTGGTTGGAGCTCTTGAGTGGGAGAGCAGTGGGTGGGGTGCTGCTGAAGACGATGAAAGCAGGACACACAACTTTATATTTAATTAAAAGGCATTTTCTCTTAAGGACTCTGGTTTTATAACCACAACGTCGTCTGACAAAAGTGACCACACGCAGCTTTGCTATTTTTACAACTGTTTTAAAATTAGACACAGCCTAAAAAAAAAAGTCTTTTATTTTTTATTAATATCACAAATTGCACTGCCTCCATTTTGGTAACAAACTACTAGAACAACATTGCACATGTGCCTTTTTGCTTTTCTCTTCCAAAAACTGCACAGAGATGACTAACAGAGAGGTGCAGAGAGTGACCCCATGCTCGATGGCTAGTTGTTGCTAAGGAGGAAAAAATAACAAACTCCAAAGAGTTGTCAAGTTGGGAAAAACTAAGCTAAGTAACTGAGTAACAATGACGGTTGGGGATCAGGGAGATATCCAAGCTGAGGTGGTGTCGATTTCCACTCGTTTAAAATAAAAAATTAACATAAACCAAATCCAAATACCTAACCCGCTGTATGAACTACAGACTAACTCCACGCTGTCTGTCAGTGTCAGCGGCTCCGCTGAGATCTGTGACATGCAGCCTGTCGGTTTTTGACAGCTCTGATCAACATCACCATCAGTATCATTACCATAATGACACAGACTTCTCTCAAACACTCGCACTCACTTTGGGCGATGTGTCCTAAAAATAACCAACCAAAATTGTTTTCCTTTAGAAAAACTGCAACAGTCAATATCGGCAGTGTGTTGTGCAGTAAGTTGGCCTGCGCATACAATAATGCATCACGTGCAAGACTGTCAGTGTTTTTATGACAGTTGATAAAGAGCAGCTGGAGCACCATCGCTGTGCTGAAGTAAAACCATCACCGTCTGAGTATTTGGTCAATTATATGAAGGTCGAAAAATGAATCACAATAATTATCGTGACAATCAATTACTCCTCAATAATAGTAATAACAGGTTATTAGGTTCCATTTATTTAGATGACTGGATTTGATGTTTTAATTGTCAATAATGACAGTGAGTTGATATTAAAGGGTTTAAACTATTGATCAGAAAAAAATACATTTGCAAAACAACTTTTGGCTCGGATGAAATTATAACAGGGATTTCTTTTTTTTTTTTTTAACAAAGCATCAACAGAACTGCAGAATAATTAATGATGAAAGCTATGTTAAAGTCCCACAGCAGCGACTGAGGCTATAATATGATTTTATAATGATTTAATAATATTTTTCCAAAAATATTTAATATTATGAGCAATTTCAAGAGCAGTTTAAATTAAAATATAAACCATAAAATTTCATTAAATCCCTCATTGAGATATTCCAGTGAAACCCAGCCATGGAGGCCTCGAGCCAGCGTTGGTCCCAAGCTCAGATAAATTGGGAGGGTTGCATCAGGGCGGGCGTCCAGCTTAAAAATCTGTGCCAGATCAAAAATGCGGATCGTGAAGAATGACCTTTCCGTATCAAATCGGTTGAAGCAGCAGGTCAGTGGAAAATATGCCACTGTTGGGAAAAGACAAAGGATGGAAGAACAGGATGAGATGAAAGCAGATGATTTACTGTGTGGACCCTTAAGAAAGAAGCCAAAAATGGAGAACAACACTGATATATTTCAGTGAGGAACTTGGATGCCAATTTCAGGTTAATGTGTCCAAATTCGCTGCACACTGTCTGCAATCTTTCTACTGCATGATAATTCAGTCCAAACACTTAATCTGCCCATTTCTCAGCCTGACATGTGATCTGCTGCATTATGCATTTCACCAATTTCCAAATCATAATAACAATATTTCTAAGAAGTATGCTGACTTTTATGTCATTATGGCACTCAGCTCATCGCTGCACTTAACACTTAAAAAATTAAAGCCTCCCGACTCGTTCATTTCAACCGATTTACAGAGCATTCAGCAGTAAAATCATTGTTAAACCTCGATCACTGACAATTTGCAAACATTAAAAGGACCAATAAAAATCTAAAAATCACATAAGTTCAGAAATCGAAAATCTTAATCTACTCTTGGATAAATCTTAGATTGCCAACACTGAAAAATGCTACAAGATGGACCATTCGTTCCCTGCTGCCATACCTTTTGCAGAAGATGATGAAATGTAAAAGCCCAGCAGCACTGACTTCCTGCTGCAGTGTAAGCTAGGGTATGGTGTGTGTGCAGACACCCAGTGTTACACTGCTGTTTATCATGCAGGGGAAGGTAACCTAGGAGATACAGTACCGCATACATTTCGGCTTCTTCTGCACAACGACACTCATGGTGTTCTGTGTGCACGTATTTGCTGTGAGGTAACATGCGGAGTGCTTTCACACCTCAACCCGCATCGCACAGGCCTCGGGCAATGGCATTTAGAGCAGCAGCATTAGTGTCGGACAGCATCACGGTGGCTTTTACAGGCGGTGGGAGAACAGTTAACCCTCAGGTGGAGCAGTTTCACACAGTGCATTAGACCACCAATATGGAGGACTCTGGCTCAGTGTTTATTTTGGTAACATGCACGATGTGTGTCCCTCTGTAAAATTGGGAAATTAGTTTTCTCTGGAAGTTTCTATTTTGAGACTTGCAAAGCACAAAGAAACACCCATAATCAAAAAGGATAACAATAATGAATAAAGCTAAGCATGCAGCTACCTAGAATAAACTGTCTGCTGTTGTACTGTAATACTCTCAGCACACACACAGGCAGCTGTCTCCCACAGACAAACATGCACACAGAACCCAGAGGATTAAAGACTTGGGTGTGAATCCCCTCCAATTTCCCTGAAGATCTGTCGCTGCATGGCACTAACTGAGTACTCTCTTGAAAACAGAAGACGTTTTAGGACTGGCACATAAGCAGCCAAGTTGGGGGACCATGTGCTGCTGTGACAGAGCCTGCACAGTCACATGATCGTGTCCAGTGTGCAATGCAAAAACGGGCTGCCAATTAAATGCCTCGACTAACACGACGCACGGCCGGGCAATACAGCTGCAAACAAATCATCACCAAATTTAAATTTTGATTCAAGTTTGATCTTTTTCCCTGCATGCTCAATAAACGAAGACATAAACATATTTTTGGGCCTACATGAGCAAAACAGCTGGAGAGCTTGGAAGCTTTTCATCATTTTGCACAGTTTTCAAATGCAGGCTCGTACAACTATAGACCAGTCTAGTTTTGACACAGTAAGAACAAAGTCTGCTGCCTAATTCATCTGCTCCTGCTGTTTGTGTTTGTTGACATCAGCCTCATATCTGCAGATACCTGCTGGCTAGCTCGCGTTAGCTGCCCAGCGTGTAGGGAACGAACAGACTGAACAAAGTCTAATCCACACGCTGATCAGTTGACTCTTGTGGCTCGAACCACCATCACCAGATAAGGTGCCCCGCTGGCAAAACAGAATCCGAGAAATGAAGCGTATTTTCCACCAAATGCACCATCAAGCTAGTCAGATCCAGTCAGTGACAAGTTCTAACTGAAGCTAAGTCTTGCTATGGCAAACCTTTAGTATTTCATCAACTGCACTGCGGTCACTAGCTGATGTTTATCCACAGTATGCTATAGAGACGTGTCACCAAAAATAGAGAGCATTGCAATAAATTTTGCAGAAGCCGGTGTGACTGGTGATGTGTCACCTTCAAAGTGCATTCCCACATGGGACTAAGGCACGGCCCCCCCTGCTCTCACACCCTTCAAGTCATTACCTCAATTCTCCATTTGGCAATACTCTCTTTAAAAGACGAATAACGTGTTTGCCTCACAGCTGCGCAAGCTTGCAAAGCAAAGATTTACAGAGGAGGGGGGGAAAGAAAAAAAAACAGCAGAAACACGGGGGGGAGAAAGAGACGGCTCATGTGGGAAAATGAGAGTTGATCATGACGTTTTGGAGGTCTGGAGGGAGAAGAACCTTCACTGGTTTTTGGGAGTCTTATATGCAGTCACTGTGTCATCATATGTGCACAGTAACACAGCAGAGGTCTGTATTTACATTCAGCCTCAATGACCATAAAAGGTTGGCTCTCGCACTGCCTTGGTGTGAACAGCAGCAGGGTTAGTAGTAGCGTCTTTACTGTAATGGTTTTTTTAAGAGCTTTTAAAGAAAAATGTATAGGTTAGCACAACTTTGCAGTCACTGAATAAATTTGGAAAAATAAATGTAAAAAACTACAACGTCAGTACTGAATTTTACAGGAGTACAAATGACATATTAACTGAGAAAAGGTCAGGGAAAAGCAAGGGAAGGAAGTTTAGGAAGGAGTTTATCTTTATTTTGAATTTTGAGAATTAAGTTGAAATGTCAAAAATTTAATTTGACATTTGCAGACTGAAGTTGAACTGAAAAAAAATTACTAAAGTTTTTTTTTCATTTTGAAACAACAGAAAGAAGAAATGTCAAAGTAAAAAGTTGACATTTTCAGACTAAAGTCACCTCAAACAAGTTGACCTCATTCTTAACATCTCCATGTTATTCTCATAATGCAAAACGACTTCCTCTGTGTTTAAAAACAAAAGAAATGCTGCTTTTTCCCACACTACAAATGTCGTCCTACTCTATGAAGTTGACAGTATTAACTCTGTAGTAGCTACTGTTACTGTAGCTATTAAGAATACACAGATTATGCTGTGGACCTATGAAGGGTTAAAATGCATAGAGCTGAGTTTTGCCATTAGAAAAGGAGGGGGTGCTAGTAAAGTACTCCAGGAACTGCAGAGTGTGTGTGTGTGTGTGTGTGTGTGTGTGTGTGTGTGTGTGTGTGTGTGTGTGTGTGTGTGTGTGTGTGTGTGTATAAAGTAACAACTGTGCTTCAGCACCTGTCTTCCTCAATCCAAAGATGAAGTTTAAACCGCATGGACAGCTTGAAGAAAATCTCAGCCTCCACCCCTCTGCAAGTGACATGACACGACACGACGCACACACAGACACACATCCATATGGAATATAATCTGACACTGTGTGCAGTCAGCATGGAGAAGGCTCGCAGTGCCCAATGTACATACATGTCAGCACAGGCAATCCAAGCAGCAGTTGCTACTTCGCGTCTGCACGCGTGTGCCTCACAGACATCTCCCCCAATTCCCGACACCCGCCTTGAGGCCCAAAGGAACCCAAGACCAGAGAGCAGGACATGCTAGAACAGAGCCAGAGAACAGCTCTCATCCTGAGGCTGTCTTTGAGCTAAAGTAGCACAGACACGCCCACCATATGTTAAGAGCAGCCTTGCGCACAACACATCAACTGTATAAACATTATAATCTGTGGTGTTAAGTAACTATTAATGCAAGTGCGCTGATACCCTGCAAGCACACGCTTTGCTCCTGTGTATCGTCGGCACTTCAGTGTCACCAGGACAAAATGCTGTATGGTTAACAGAAAGAAAAAAAAAATTATTTCGTTTCTATCAAAACAATCACAGATGGGTGCAAAGAGTTAAAAAAAGTGAAATGAGCAGAGCTGCAGGGACAAGCCCTGCTGTCGGCCTGATGCTCTGCCAACTATCTGAAAAAGGCCTTACCTGGGCCAAGACACAGCTAACCAGAGCAGGCCACACCATGAACAGCAAAGCAATTACTGCTTCATCACGCCAAATTAAAATAAATAAATAACAACAAAAAAATCATTTACATTGTATCTTGTTTTGCTAGTTTGGCCCTCGCGATACTAAAAAGCCACTTGAGAGAAAGAAGCTCTTGCTTGAGATGCGAACTCACCGGTAGCATAGCTTGGTAGTACAGCCCCATCATTGTCTGATCTAAAGGAACAACTGCTGACCAGCTTTCCACTTTCCCGTTCCTTCTCCTCTCCTTTTCCGTCTGTGTCTCTCGTTCTCCTCCTATTCCTCCTCTCCCGTGTCTGTGCTCCAGGACCATGAGCTGACGATGGCTTCAGTCCACGTCCGCCTCACACATTCAAATTCTCCCTCGTTCACTCCCTCTTCCTCCTCCTGCCGGTGTTGCTTCTTCTACTTCTCCAGCACGCGAGCCTCGTCAGCCTGTCACTCTCTGCCTCGCTTTTGCTCGTCTCTCCGGCCCTGCTGCTCTGATCCCCCTCGGGCCTTTCCGTCTCTCTCCTCCTGCCAGCCCGAGTCTCTTCTCTTCTTCTCTCTTTGCTCTGCGTCTGTCATTCACACACTCGCCTTACACGTCCTCCTGCTCTTCTCCCCCCCTTTGCTTCCTCTTGTTCCCGCCCCTCTTTTTAAAACTTTCCCTCCCTTTCAGTCTCAATCCCTCCTATCCATCAAAGCATCCATCCTTCCATATAGCAATCTAACCCTGTGTCTGGATGGAGTCAGAAAGCTGATGTTGTTGCCGTCTCCTAAAGCCCCCGGAGAGAGACAAGAAACGGGAAAGGAAGAAGATGCTGCCTTCTATCCACGCACTGGCTGCCTGAGAGTACAGAACACGAATGCGACCCCCACTGCATTGCAGCTTTTTTTTGATGATTTATTTATTGCGTGGCAGCCTGTCAGCTCCAAAAAAGCAGTGGTAGGTAGGCCAGCCGGTAGACAGCTAGGTAGCTAGCTGCGTGGGTAGGCTCCTAGATCACCATCTCTCTGCTGCAGCTGTCTTCCTCACACAGATGGAAGTCTCACAAAACTGAGCGAGCGCCAGCCCCGATTCCACTACCTAAACCTCAACCTGAACATTACGCTGCATTGCACCTTTTTCTTCTTGGCTCAGTTCCGTCACTTTCCAACACTGTATTGTTAGAAGGCGTTTAATTTGCAGGGATGAGAGTGCAGTTCCTTGCGCTGCATTTTCATATGGGAGGGACTGAACTCTGCAGGGGGAAAAAAAAAAGAAAAGAAAAAAAAGCCCTGATGCCAAGCATTCAGACATCTGCTGAGTCTGGCTAGAACTGGGTCCAGAGGGATGGAGGGATGTTGGGAAGGAAAGATAAAGTGAATGGACGGAGGTGGTGGTGGTGATGGCAGAGAGAGGGGGTGAGACGGAAAAGGAGCTGGGATGAAGTAGAGGGGGACAGGGACTCAAGGGGGCAATGGATGTGAGCGAGAGATAACAGGATTGGGAGATAAATGGATAAAATCGTTGGGTGGAGGGGAAAAAAAAAAAAGAGCGAGGGATGACAGGATTAGGGCTGTAAGTGAGGAGGATGAGAGGATGAATAGGGGATGATCCTGGGATTAAGTACACAGGCTGAAACACTGCGATAAACACATGCAGTCACACACAAACACATGCACCGAACGTACACACGCAGATGCGCTCTGATCATATCCATGCTGCTGCACCTTGGCTGGAAAACAGACACACATGGATTCAAACAAAGGGCTATATCCATCCAGCGCTCACCAGCTCGTCCAAACAAAGGCCTGTTCTCCAAACACGGTATCTACAGATGATCAGCAGCCCTGCTCAACTACTCTGCAGGACATGTTCACAACAACTGCACCTCGTGTGTGCAGGTTCTTACATCTACTGCTAAATGCCAAAGAAACGCTTAGGTGTGCTGGTTCTGTCTTGTTTGTATGTGTGTCTTTAACTCTGATCATCAACTCTAAACATCAGGAAACCGCGGCCCCAGAGGACTGACCGCCCCCCCTTAGAGAACAGGAGACGTATGGCAGCGGCGTCCCCAGTTAAACGCGTTCGTGTTGACGCGGGCAGACCTGCGGGCAGTTCAAATGTGCATAAATAACATAAGACAGACGCATTACAGAGACAAATGCACTGCAGCGGTGAACAAGCCAATCTTGCAAAGCTAGGCTTGGCTAACTCCATTTGCATGATAACCAGCAGTGTGCTGGAGACTCCTAATGTGTGTGCTCAAGGGCAGAATACATTAGCAGGGACGACTTTTTAAATCATTTATAAAACAAATGCAGAGGTATGCCGTGGCTCTGAATTTAACACCGGGCGAGAGTTCACACACGCTGCAGATCAGAAGTGATCTCTCTGCCCAGGTGTTTGTCTTACAAACAGATGAACTCGGGCAGAGGAGAGCCGAGACTGGAATACAAGCTTGCTCTAACTAAGAAACTGATTGTGTGCCCCTGCGGGCAAGCCATCTTAAATAACTTGCTTCCATTTCAGTTTTAGCTCTGTGCCACTTCCCTGCTTTATTTCTCGTCTTCCCGTCTCGCCTTTAATCTCTTGCACAACATTTGTTTTTAATCGTCAGGTTGACATCCACCCAGAAATTGTAATAAATTTGATTTGAAGCACGAAAGCCTGAAATTCTTTTGGTGTCTCCCCTCGCGTTCTCCGAGAGCTGCACTCCCACGAGAGATGTTACCAGGGGTAGAGCAGGAGTGGAGTGCAGGGAGCAGAGGAGGGAGAGGAGACTAAATGAGAGGATGAGGTCTGTGAGAATCTCCATATTGTGATGCGAGGAGGGAGGCTGGGGGGCGAGAAAGCTCACAGGCCAACACTTCCCTCCTGTGGCACTGCCAGAGAGCTGCACGTCCCAAAACACAGCCCTCAGATGCACAAACGCTTGCACGAAGACAAAAAGCGCACACACACACACACACACACACCCATAAACATACTCAAATGGCACGTGTGCATGCACACACACGGGCACTGAGCTGGTTTGAGCTGCTCAATGCGCTCTGCTGCTTGGAGGTAGATAAGAAAATAGTCAGCAACCCTGCCGCTGCACATATAAGTCACTAATTACTGAGAGCAATATGCTGGTGAGACATTCAGAATGAGAACGAAACAGAGAATATGAGAGAGAGGCATAAAGACAGAGAGAGAAGTGCGAAGGGGATGTGAACGGCGTTGTGAGAAAAGCTCCGCATACAGAGCGTGCAAGGCGAAGAAGGTGATAGCATAATTTCTCTCCACTTTCTAAGAATCAAGTCTTTGAAAGAGAAGCTCAGTCATCACTGGTTTCTCTTCCATCGATTCCTCGAAGAGAGATGAGCTACCAAAGGTGAGGCAAGGCTTTCATTACCGTCTAGATAATAATGTGGTCGTAGAAACAGACTGAATCCTGCTACATATGTGAGGATGGTGAGGACAACACTGCTAGTTTTTACTGTGCAAGAAGAATGACATGAAAGTGGACTATCACAAGTGTAACTTTCGATTTAAAAGGGGGCTGAGCCAGTCCATCTATCCTTATCATATGCCACGTATAGTATAAATTGATAAAAGAAGTTTAAAAGTAAGATCAGGCGTCATCCTACTCAGACAGTGTTTTCAACTCTTGCTCTGTGTGACGTCAGTGAGAGCGGCTATCGCTCATAGGGACACCAAAGGCGCACAGTCGTGTCCAACCTTGTGCCTGTGAGGTGCAGCCAATCAGAATAAGGCTGGTTTAAAATGGAGATCAGCTTGTTTTAAAGGAGCTGCACCGACGATCAGGGATTAAACTGTAAACAAAACTATTTTAGCAGTGAACAAGAATATGGAGGTCAACATAAACATAACAGGTCCCATTTGAAGAATACCAAAATGTTTTATTTATCCCATGAACAAACAGTGTTTGATTCAAGTGGACTTCACAAACTCACTTCCAGCTTTTTACCATCAGACGACTGAAAGCAGGCGTACTGTTGAGTAAGTCAAGGTTTTGTATTTCATTAATTTTTTATTTTTTATTTTTGGCAATTTATTGTAACAGAGATTTGCGAGCAGTCACTCATCTCTTACCTGACTGTGAGGTTGGTATCCATGGAAACCGGGATTTAAAGGCTCATTGTTCTGCAAGAGACAACAGGAGGGATGAGAGCAGCGTAAGTGGCTGTGCTTTTGAGAAGTGAGTGGATGCAGCAATGGCGCTCCAAAGAAACTTGTGTGTTTTAGATGACAAAAAAATCTCAACCTAACTTGTGAAAGCAGGAGGATTTATACTGTCACAACCCTTTTCTGTAATCTAAAAGCACAAGTCAAAGTACTTCAAGCATTTTGAGACCTTAAATGACACCCGAACACTAGCAGGGGACTAAAGTTCAAACGAGCAAAGACGACGTTCTTGCGTGGGAAAACAACTGATGAGTGAATGAAGTTAACAGTTAACAGTCTTGTGGATGCCGTGACTGATGAACCATCACTGCAGCTTCGCAAACTTTTCTATCCAGTCCCACCAACCAATCAAAATCCACCGAGCCCATCCCTCATCGCCCCTGTTCAGAAACCAGTGTTGTGGTTAATTGCTCTGTAATTACTTTTAATTAGATTATTTCTGTCTCTTTCGCTCCATTTTCTCTGTGACTATTATTTTCCCCCCTCTGTGTCATTTTGCCCCGGCAAGAAGAGCCATTGTTTGCTACAGAGCTCGGTGAAGAGGAGGGGGCAAAAATGAAAAGACAAAAAGGAGGCGGGAGATGGGGGAGGACTGGAACAATGGGGAAAGTTAACTAAACGATGATATTTTGACAGCAGTGAGAGAGATCACTCCGGTACGGTCTAGCCTGCTGGCATGCCTCGAAGAGAAAACATGACCGCCTAGCGAGACTCATGCCTCTGCTCTCGATAAGGAGCTGAGGCATGAGTCTCACTAGAGGGAGAAAGCGGGAAGGGAGGAGGATAAGGGGAAAGGCCTCCGAGGGGGGAAAAGAAAGAAAGATGTGTATGTGTACATGTTAGAGGGTGGGGGTGAGTTTGAAGTCGTTTTTAGAACTGCTGATGTTTTCATTACATTTAATCAGCAAAATATTCCAAATCCATGTGCTGGTCATTAACCACCTACACTTTGGCATGAACGCGCCCCTCAGTTCGGCCAGCACTTCGAGGGTGGGCCCCGTAATGCCGCAGCAATGAGAAGGGGCAGATTTGGCTTCTGAAGAGTGTCAACAGAGTTAACCTCCTGGCCCTGACCCCGATGCCGCCTGCCGCGGGAATCGCTCCATCGCTTCAAACGTTCATTCGGCCAATCGAGGGCAAGCCTGCGTGAGGAAGAAGGGGCCGGTAGGACCGCAGCAGATTGCGTAAACAGAAAGACAAACAGCTTTTAATCTGAAGAGGTTAGAGATATGAAGGCTAAGACCAAAACACAGATGGGATGATGATGATGATACACGAGAGAATGAAGAAATGGAAAGAAGTAGTGTCTAGACAGAGAGGGGGATAGAGGGAAGCCAAATGGGGAAAAGTGAGTATGATGTTTTGGTTTAAAAAAAAAAAATATGGACCAGATGTAAAGAATGGAAATAAGAAACCATTTCTTTTTTTCTTTTGATGCATGAGCTGTAAACTCTTAACTCTGGGCGGGTCTGTCCAGACTCGGGGCCCGTCCCCCCCTTGCTTGAAACAGCCCTTTCTTTGTCTCCTCTCCCCACTTCCTGTTTCATCTGGAACCAATTTCCCCCTCATGCCTTGTCCCCAGGGGGATCACTCTCCTTGGTGCGCCGCGCTTACAGTGGGAATGGGCAGGCTTACATCGAACGACATACTGACCGCGTGGCGAGCTGCTGGTGCTCGATGCAGCGCATATGGAAATGCAGTAAAGGAGGCCCGTTCAGAGCAGAATTTAAAGTCCACAAAGCCCCAGGCGATGTCGGTGGGAATGACAAAACTCTTTCCTTTTTTGAATTAAATAAAGAAAAAAAAACAACAACCCACCACACTGCAGTGTGTTTCAAAAAAGGCCTGAAGTGACGATGCGGTTTAAAACTGGAGCTGCACTACTTATTTATTCTTTAAATGGTGGTAATTTAGCCATATGAGAAAAAAAATTACACCCAACTACTGGTGATTAATGACGTAAATGTGCATTCTCATCACACTCCCAGTCAAAGTAAGGGTGTAGGCACTGCACTACCAAGGAGGACAACTGGAATGCCACTGAAATCCAAACCAAAATTACCCGTGACCATCAAATTGCAGAGTCGCTGCTGGTTCTACTTTGGGAAGAAAAAAAAGCGAGAGAGAAAGAGAAAGAGGAGGAGAAGGAGTTTACGTAGAAGAACAGAAGGAGGGGAGAAGAGGGGGAGGAAGTTTAGCAACATCTGGAATCAATCTGTCTGCAAGAGAGGAGGGACTGGAAGAGTCTGAAGGAGGAAAGAAAGAAGCAGAAGAAGAAGAAAAGAACCAGATGAAAATAAGGACAGACACACAGGAGAAAGAGGAATGTGGGTAATAAGAGAGCCAAAGCCAAGAAAGGGGAGAGAAATAAAGCAGTAAAGTATTCGCAAAATGGAGACAATGAGTCATAAGTGAAGAATGCCATGTGATTTATATTTTCTTAAAGCAGGGTGGGGGAAGGAGCTCGAGGGGTTGAATTTGATACCTAGTTTTTACAGACTCGTTTACCTACCCCCACACAAACCCAGGCACACACAAGCACACACTGCCTTTGCCATATGGCTTTACATCACGTGGCTGCTGAAAGGTATACAAAAGTTTATTCCCGACAGCTTTTTATAAAATAAATAAAAATGGACGCAGCTGTGTTGCTTCGCTCGGTCTGAGCCCGTGCAGGTTCAGAGCTGTGCTTTCATGCCTCACTTCTGTAACTTTCCATTAAGTTAATTCCATATAGTTTGCGAGCGAGGAGGAGCCTTTGAAGGCGCCGGCCGGCTGACTGTGGAGGGCTTCAGTCTGCGCTGGCAGGGATCAGCAAAAGCACAGAAAAACCAGTCACACGCTCATAAACACTGACTCGACAGAGGGTAAAAACTAAAGGGCGTCTCTCTTGTTTATTTTCTCTCTCTCTCTGTCTCTGACTTGCTATTTTAAGAGGAGAAGGAAAGAAGTTGGGAAGTTGCTGGAGCAAATGGGTAGAAGCAAGGGAGGAAGGGAAAAAAATGGAGCAGCAGTGGTGAAGGAAGACAAAATGACATGAGGTCAACAGATGGTGAGAGGGGAGGGGGACTAAGGGAGGAGGGGAGACGGTAATTAGGCAGGCCGCTGCAGGCTTCCAGTGGTCCCAAACAGAACAGCCCGAGGAGGTGGCTTTGTGGTCTCATATCACCAAATGTTAGGGGGGGGAAAATAAAAAACACACCTGCTCCCTCCAAATCATCATGAAAAAGACTTTTTTGATATATCTGCTGCTGCATGCCTATGTCTGAGGTGTGGCAAAATAATCTAGGAGGGGTGATTTGACAAATGTCAAATCACAGCTATGCTAACATCTGATCAGCTCCACAACCAGCTCTATCAAGTCAACAAAACCCAACCGTGGAGGAGGAAACGTAGACACCAGCATACCGTATTATAGTTATGGAGAAAAGTGCAGAAGAGCCACAAAGTGATGGATATGGTGGACTTGAGACGGGTGTATTAAAGCCGAGAGACGACGCTCAGAATGACAAATGCATTGGAGGTAGTCAATATGTGAGGACATAAGGACAAAGACCGAGAGGAAGCGCAGAAAGACAAGATGAAACACAAGCTTTCCCGAGAACTGAAGGCTCATTTATCACAACGGCATCTTTTTCACTTTACAGACCAAACTGTGCCCACACAATGGCACCGCTACAACTACCCGAGTTTCTCTCTTTTAAGCGATGTATTTTCTAAAAGAGTAGGAGTCTTCAACACCTCTGATGTGAACTGGACACGGTTTTTTTTTTGGTGATGGTGGTGGTTCCGACTTTAATAAAATATAAAGCTCGAGGGCACTTCACTGGGTGGATTTATTGATGACTGTTTCCTCTGTACCGACTGTGTGGATTGCTAATAAAAACAGATGACCTAGGAATTGGGAATTATGCAGGTCCCTGTACGTCTCCGCATGAAGGTTCCTGCACAAGAAAACACTCATCTATAGCTGGACCACATTGTTATTTCACTGAGTTATATTATCTGTTTGCCCATCTGTCGATAAACCTGTCCTAATCTTGTAAACGAGATCACACCTGCTCACTTAAACTCAAGGAGAAACCAGTCAGATTTGGGTGGTTAAAGTTTAAGAAAGCATCTGCAAACTTTACCACCACATTTTTGACCAAAGAAAGATCTTATCATTATTTGGTACTCATTACAATACTATGAAGAATTCCAGTCCTTGTTTCAATTATAAAACTGTCTAAATAAGAAACATAAAATGCAACTACTAAAAAGTGGAGGAAGAAAAATGCAATTAGCATGTTTAAGCCTCCTTTGAAACAGAGCAGCTCTAAAGCTCTGCAGGCCAGCTTTGAGTCAGCTTTCAAAACCAGACTGAGAACGTATGATTCATTATCCTGTTTTTATGCAAATGAATCACAAAAGTGGGCTACCTTGATAATAAACAAAACATTTAGGAGCCTCAAAGTTTTAAGAATAGCAAAAGTTAAGCGAGAGAGGCCAGTTTCAGTTTAATTTTGGCTAAAGACCAGCCACAGTTTGAGTATACCGGTAAGCTATTCTATTCTAAGCCAGCAGCGTTGGTGGTGAAAACAAACAAATCTGTGCACATACTGTTAAATTCTCCATTTTCCTCTTCAACTTTTCTTTTTTTGGATTTGGAATCCATAAGTAGGGGGGCCCAGGACTTTTCATGTAAGTGTATAGACCCATGCTAACTACTCAAGACTACCTTTTTTTATTTAATTACAAAAAAGTCTGGCCCTTTGGAAGTGAAATGTAAAGAAATGGCCCAAGACTTTTGCACAGCATCAAGAACACGTGAAGGAAATTTCACTACATCTAGAACAAGCGTCACCTTTGAACTCAAGGATGAAGCGATTTAATTTTACCGCTC